CTGAGTACAAAACATAGAGAGGAAAACAAGAAGAAAAGGGACAAGAAGAGAGGGACACAACCTAGAACAGATAATGGATGTCTATTCTATTAACTGCCCGTCTTTGCCTGAGGCCCCACATTTCCTAAATCCGCCCCTGTCTGCAGGTAAATCCCCCGGAGGATCCATGGAGGCCGATTTTAGAGCAAAGTCTCTCTCGGCCATATCAATCAGAGGACAGATGGAGCGCAGAGCCGTTGGTTCTAATGTTAGAGCATTATGGCTTCAGGTGCTTCTTACCGGGACCACCAGCGATGTGACGCCGCTGGCCAACCCCGTCAGCACTCTGCCTACGTAGAACATCCACACGTTCTGAGCAGCGATGATGAGCGTGAAGCCAAAGACGTAGGGCAGCGAGCAGAGCATCAGACTGAGCTTCCTGCCGATCCTCTGCACCATCCAGCCGCCCAGCAGGCCGCCCGCCGCCGCTCCCAGCGTCACTATGGACTGAAACACAAACACCACTTCATCTTTGACCTTTTTTTCTGCCTTTTCTGCTGCATGAAGTGTTTTTTTTTAAAGCATGTGAGGACATAAAGCTGCTGAATCTGCATCATGTGATGCTGCATCATCGTACCCCGAACCAGGAGGCCTGCTCGTCGCTGAGCCTGAGCCGCGGGTCGGAAATGCTGCTGAGCTCAGGGATGGCGGGGGAGCTGTAGCCCAGCACGAAGCCGAAGCTCATGGGGCCCAAAACGGCTGCAAACGAGGCCAGGTACAACTTCCCGTTCTTCACTTTGCTGTGAGGGAGAAAAGAGGAAGCGGGGAATGAAGGATGCTGTTTGACATGTTTGGACCTTTTTTTTTCAAACCTCAATTCTATTCAATTTATTTCTATAATTCCAATTCACATCTCAGGTCACTTACAGAACCAGTTCAACCAGATCATCCAGTCAGATTGGTTCAACGTTTTCCATCCAAGGAAAACCAGCTGATTGCATCGACTCATTCAGCAATCCCTCACACTAAGCATGCTTGTAGCGACAGTGGAGAGGAAAAACTCCCTTTGAACAGGAAGAAACCTCCAGTTTGTGAATTTAGTTTTAGATTCAGACCCCCTACTTCTTTAACCCTACATCCAAAAAACCACAAACTGTTTTTTGTGACAAACAAGAAAAAAAGTGCTGACTAACTGTGAGCTGAAAAATGTGGAGTGTTTTTGTTTTCCCGACTAAGTGATTAAATATGGAGTCTTTTTTTACCCATTATTGTTAAAAAGCAAAAAGCAAAAAAAAGCTATATAGATTGAAGTTTTTGGATAAAAGCAATCCCTCCAATGAGACGAAAAAAAAAAAGGTTTTGAGAGGAACTTTGATGTTTTCTCAGATTTTATTTCATTTTTTTTATTTTTTTTTTTTACTAATTTATGTTTTCAAATTTAGATTTAGGAAATTAATTCTTTGGAAATTACGTTTCAGAGATCACATTATCTTCTGACGTCAGCAGACTCCTCCCTCCGGAGGAAGGCCCGCCCCCCCAGACATGAAGAGAATAGGTCTCTAAAAAAAGAGTAGTATTTGTAAAACTAAATCTGAAAAAGAGAAACTTTAAAAAAAAAATCTACAAAACAAAATCTGTAAAAAAAATAAATATTTTTTTGAAAAAACAAAATATATATATTTTTTTGAACTTTTACGGAACAAAATCTGAAAAAAGCAAAGTTGCTCTTAATTTTTTTTTTTTAATTAATACGTTTTTCCAATGTTTCCTTCTGTTGAATAAACAATAATTAAACAGAATTCACTCCATACTTTGCTGATCTTTAAAAAAAACTAAAGTTTTCTTAAGAAGTTTTAAGACAATGACTAGGCCATTCTAACACAGGATTATGCTTTCATGTAAAGCAGCGTTTTACCATGTGGACCCGCTCCTTTATAAACCAAACCTGGAACATTTTGAAATAAGGATGGGAGAATTATTCCCTAAATAATCAGACCGTACATACTGACCTAATTAAAGGATGATTTCCAAATTCTTCTGGGTTTGGCTAAAACATTTAAATATATCTGAGCAGTAAAAGGACTGATCCCTGAAATCACTGACTGCATCATTAGGGTGACCAAAAAAATCAGCTTTATTTTTCATTTATTTTTTTATCCTTTTTAATTCCAACTAAAGAGCAAATAAACATCCTGTTATAAGAGACATGTTTTAGTTTTTATTTTATTCTATTGTGAAAAGATAGAAAAATCTCTGGAATACTTTCTGACTCATGATCTGAACCCTCCGTCTGCATCGACCACCTTCAGCCTTTGGTTTGTTACGAAGTCAGCTAGGGGGGAGTATTGCCATGGGTGTTGCGATACGATATTATCACAATACTGTAATATCACTATATAGTAGGATATTTGTCCCAACTATTAAAATTGCATGTACAGATAAAAAAGCTGTAAATGTTCATCAGTAGATATTGATCATTTAGTTATTTTGGTATCCATGTTGTTTGGGGTTCCAGGCAGTCCACGTCTTCCACTGTGACTGCCTCAACTACAGCAGAGGTAGCCATTTTCCCTCATTGTTTAAACTAAAATGTTTAGTTTTTTTGAAAGTCGTAGAGAAGCGGCCGTTCGAAATGTTGCATTTCTGAATTCTCCCGAGTGGTGCCGGACTTTACACGAGTGAATAAAGTGAATATGATTGGTCGATTATCAAGGGGGCGGGATTGTTGGGGCGGAAAGTTTGCAAGCTTTTTGGTTGTGGCCGGTTTGTGGGAAGCATCTTGCTAACCAGTTAGCAACTTAGTGCTAGCAGGTTACCAATGGGAAATTCCATCTTCAAACTAAGAAACAAAGTCCAGTAGATTGTATTTAATTTTCTTTTTTGGAATGACT